ATAATGTATCTCTCGGAGTTCTTATCCATTACCTGCATACTGAAATACCCTTCATGAGTTATAAACAGTGTAACTTGTCATAGAATTTGTATCATATATAGGTTAGATTTCAACTCTATGTAACATATTTTGAAAGAGACGAATAGATTAAAGAAGATGGATATAAAGAGAGAAAATATACTCCACATTCAGTGCCTTTCTCTCTCTGTTTTGATCCATTAATGGACAGCTCAACTTGTATTTCACTCAAATTTACTCATATCTACTCCATATAGATGGGGCAATATCACATGAGCTTTCTCCATATAGCGGGGATACTGTTATACCAGAAGATTCAAAGAAAGTGACAGTGGTCGAAGAAAGCTGAGAAGGAAAAGTAGGTGTTTAAGGGGAAGGGTATGGCCCACCAGCTTAGGTGTTGGAAACCCCAACAAGAACCAGCGCATGTGCACTTTAATTTGTCATTGTTGTGTGAGTTTTTAGCCAAATGAGACCCCCACCACCCTCCTTTCTTTACATTGTTCCCCATCTTTGTATATAAATAGAGGGCTTCACTACAACCACATAAACCACACCAAACAGCTTTAACACATTCCTCAGTTTCTGCTGCTGCTTCTTCTTTTTCTCCTTTACAATGGCACACCACACATTTTCCTTTTCTTCTTCTTCTGCAATGGTGCTTCTCATTGTTGTCTCCATCAGCATTCTCCTCCAAGACTTCACCGCCACCGGCTATGGCAATTGGCAGAGTGCTCACGCCACCTTCTACGGCGGTGGTGATGCCACGGGCACAATGGGTGAGTTTTTGCTTGGCACTACTTCACCAATGGTTTGTTTCTGGAAGATTTGATTGAGCTGAGCCGTTTAGTGGTTTTGACATGCAGGAGGGGCATGTGGATATGGGAATTTGTACAGTCAGGGCTATGGAACCAACACGGCAGCTCTAAGCACAGCTCTGTTCAACAATGGCTTAAGTTGTGGGGCGTGTTATGAGTTAACATGTACCAGTGATCCAAGATGGTGCAAGCCTGGCTCCATCATTGTCACTGCCACAAACTTTTGCCCTCCAAACTTGGCTTTGCCCAACAACAACGGAGGTTGGTGCAACCCTCCACTTCAACACTTTGATATGGCCGAACCTGCCTTCCTCCAAATTGCTCAGTACAGAGCAGGGATCGTCCCTGTCTCCTTCAGAAGGTAACAGAAGCTGAAAAGTTAAAACCTTTCTGTAGTTTCATGAACTGTCACGCTGCTTAAGGAAATTCTGGCACTTATATAGTTAGAGAATGGAGCTTTTGTATCATGTGGTGATGATGAGAGTGGTTTCTGATTTATTAATGTGACAGAGTTCCGTGTATGAAGAAAGGAGGAGTAAGGTTCACCATTAATGGTCACTCATATTTCAACTTGGTTTTGATCACCAACGTGGGAGGAGCAGGGGATGTTCATGCAGTCTCAATCAAAGGGTCCAGAACTGGCTGGCAATCCATGTCCAGGAACTGGGGTCAGAACTGGCAGAGCAGCTCCTACCTCAATGGCCAAGCCCTCTCTTTCCAAGTCACCAGCAGTGATGGTAGGACCCTCACAAGCTACAACGTGGCACCTCCCAATTGGCAGTTCGGCCAGACCTTCCAAGGTGGTCAGTTTTAATGTACTGACCAAATCCTATTATTTCAAGTATTATTTTGGTAGGATAATGAGTTGTAAAAGTGTTAGAAGGATTGATTCTGATAAGATGTGATTCTGATAAGATGAGAAGGTCTTATTATTGATCTTCAAAGAAGCTGAGGTGATATTATTACACCCGCAAAGACCTTTTACATATGTGTGTGTATGTATATTTTATATGTTAAATTTTAACCAGAGGCTTAATTTCCTCTATTATTACCGTTTCTCTCCTTAATTCTGACTATAGGGCCCTTCAATAAAACTCAATGAATGGATAATTCGTGTGTGTGTGTGTGTGTAAGAGTTCTATTTTGTAATTCTCCCATTTCGTAATTGTCCTCGAATTGAAATATCTGAGCAACCATAGTTTTTGTTCAGGAAAAACTGATGAAAAACGTATAAAAATGAATAGCTAAAGGATGAAAGAAGGCTAGACGACTTATTACTATAGGGCTTATGTTCTACATATAGATAAATACCTGAAATCAGTCTCTAAATTTATCACATGACATTTGAAAGCAAACACTAATTGACTAAATTGAGTACATTAAAAAAATTTGTTAAGTTAGTTATTTATAATAAATATACTCCTCCGGTCCTTATTATAAGACCCAGTTTGACTTTTTATTTGGTCCTAATTATAAGACCCAATCCATTTTGTCTCTTATATTTATGCATTTTTTTCCAAGATAATCCTTCTAATAATGATAGTTTTAGCCAATATACTTAATTAGCAAGGATATTTTAGGAATGACAACACTTATTTATTATAAATAACCAACTTAACTTACTTCCTTAATCTCCTCAAATAAGTCAATTGGGTCTTATAATTAGGACCGGAGGAGTATGTTATTTTTTTCAGGATACTTTTGCTAATAATGTGTATTAGCTAAAATTATCATTCAATAAACCTTTAACATATGCACCTATTATAAGAACTATTTAAAAATAAATAAATAAATATGGAGAACAAATAAATTGAGATCTCATATTTAATATCAAAATGAATACCAAACTAACTAATATATGAAGCACCAATCATGTGCATCTATTATAAGAACTATTTTAAAAAAATAAATAAATACGAGGAACAAAATCAATTGAGATCTCATATTTAATATTAAAATGAATATCAAACTAACTTCATATACGAAGGACCAGTGGTACTACAAGTTAAATGAGTAGGAATTTGGAAGTGAGAAAAATAAAGTTAAGGTCTATTTTATGTTCTGGGTTTATTTTAGAAGCAGTGCACCTTTTAATACAGATACGTCCAAATTTTAGGATCAATTCAAGTTTCATGCATCAAATCAGGCTTCAATATCAATTAAAGTTTCAGCTTCGAAGGAATTTCATAATGGGAATGGTATTATATTGTCTGGTTATTATGTACTCCTCCGATCCTAAATATAAGACCCTTATATACACTAGTATAAGGGTCTTATATTTAGGACCGGAGAAGTATTATTCAATATGACTATGGTGCCCTTGAAATATACAATTCATGCGCACTAAGTCAGTCATGAAAGCAAAATGGGATCGTAAGAAAATCATCCCAGCCTGATAGCCAAAAATTACTTAACTATTAAAATTATATTATCCGTTTCTTAATATAAAATCTCATTTAATTTTTATTTTAATTCTAAATATAAAATTTTAATTTATTTTGTCTCTCATATTTATTTATTTATTTAAAGGTGATTTTTATAATAAAGACAGTTCTAACTCTCCAATAGGTATCAGGTTGCTTGTACAATGACTTTGTGGGTGTTGCCTTCCCACGTTCAATTTTGATGCAATAAGATAGGCTAAATGCCTCGTACTATTCACAAAAAAAAAGACAGTTCTAACCAATATATTTGATTAGTAATGATATTTTAAGAAATACAATACATATATAACAAATAATTAACTTAACTTATTTTCTTAATCTATCTAAATTAATCAACTATTTTTTATATTCAAAACCGAAGGCAATATATATATAGAGAGAGAGATACACACAGAGAAAACATCACAGTCCGCACCGTGAATTCTCATTCTTTTATCGTCATTTGTCTCTTCCAAAATTTTCGTTGGGCCAACATTAATTGAGGCAAATCAGTATCTTAAATTTTATTTTTTAATCTTTGATATAAGAACTCGTTTATTTTTTATTTTAATTTTAAATATAAATTTTAATTTATTTTTATTTTATATTTATTTTTTTAAGATGATTCTTGTAATAATGATAAGTTCTAATCAATATATTTGATTAATAAGAATATTTTAAAAAAATAATAAGTATTTATTATAAATAATTAATTTAATTAATTTTTTTTAATCTACTTGAAGTCTTAAACTAATCAACTGATTCTTATATTAAAAAAAATTAAACAAAAAGGCAAAAGACATTTTGGGACGCAAACATCATGTTGTGTAGCTATCATAGAATACTTTCACTGAGGATCATTTGCATACATTATAATTTAACATGTTTTGTCTAGAATATTATACTTCCCATTTTAAATATAAAACCTTTATTCATATTAATATAAGAGTTTTATATTTCGGACCAAAAGAGTAATTTTCTAAATTTAGCATCCTGAATTAATTATAAATTTTTTAATTAATTAATCAAACTTATCTAACTAATAACATTTGTATTTTAACCCCGGAAGAAGCCTTATCTCTTGTGCAACTATCAGCGGTATTTTTTTTTTTTAATTTTGCCAACACTATTCATTGTACTTATTAAAAAAATCATGAATTTGATTAAATTTAATTAATTATGGAATTTATATGTTCCCAAAATTTGGTATGCAAAGACGCATACTAGAAATATTACAGACAGTTAATCTTCATGAATTTAATTGTAATTTCCTTCCAAAATCTTGACACCCAAAAACACGTACTCTATCATTAAAGAAAGATCAAAAATTAATAATTCCCTAATCTCTTTGGTTGACTCATGAATTGGTTGCAATCCAGGGGAAAAAAAATTAGGTTTTGATGTTTTCTTTCCTTCCCGATTCTGTAAAACCGAAAAATTGATCCGTTTACATGAATCAGAATCCTTAACTGTTTGACTCGATTCAAGTCGAGTGGAGCCCAACTTTTTCCCGTGTCTGGCTCGCCAATTTCTGGATTTCATATTTAGGGTTGCATTTCTGGAGATCGAATTTTCCCTTGTTCCGTACCAAATAGCCCATCAATATTTGCCAATCCAAGCCCCCAGTCTCTGTATCCTTCGTGACGTTTTGATCTGTCTGTTTTCTGCCCGTCAAAATCTATGCCTTTTTGATACTACAGGTGGCAGTTGAATTAGGGACCCTGTTGCTTCTGCGCCGGTGGTTTCATACACCGATTCTGGGGTGTTGGCTTGTTGAAGCTCTCTTGTGGGCCGTCAGCATTTCCGAGTCCTGACACTGAAACGGTGTCGTATAGGTTTGCATTTGCATTCCCGTTGCGGGCATCATGGCTGATCTTCAAGTCAGTTCGCCGCGAATGACCGGTGCCGTAATTGCGGAGGATCGCCTGTGCTCGTCCCCACCATCGTCGCCGCTTCCGCCGTCAAACCCGGATCCTTCGTCGGTTGGGGCGGAAGCTTGGTCGAGAGCCGAGAAAACGACCCGTGACATATTGTGCAGGATACAGCCCACTTTGGGCGCCGACCAGAGAAGGAAGGAGGTCGTTGATTATGTACAGAGATTGATTAAATTTGGTGTTGGGTGCGAGGTGATGTTGGTCTCATTATGGCTGCTATTTCTTTTTCCTGTTCTTTTTAATTTGAACGTCATGTCAAGATTGTCGAGGATATGCGTGTGATGTCCAACGTTGCATCGGTTCTGTGACAGTTAGGCTCATATCTTGGTCTTTATTTTACAAGGTTGCGGGCATGAACTTTGAGTCATCTGTTTGCTTGTGTTGTCTATTTTAGCTTCTAAGACTTGTTCAGGTATATAGCTTCTGATATCGGACACATTTGAGTTGCTTGTGTTATGCTTCTAGCGATGATCTGTACAGCGTGATGCTGCCTTAAAACTGTGGGAATGATTTCTTGGCTGAGCGCACACTATCACATTGCTTGGCAACTTTGTTTATTGAAGCAATATCTTGAAAGGTTGACATTAGAAACGCGTAGGGTTCGTGCCCCTTGGACTCCTTTGCTATTGCTCTTTAAAGAATGCTTGCAGCTGACAAATTCACTAGTTCTCCTTCTTATAGTTTGATGGTGGTGATTAGGGTGAATTAAATAGAAGACACAGTGCTATCGTATGCAAGATCACATGGCTGATGTAGTCAGGACAGATTAATGGGGCTGCAACAAGTTGAATCAATTGAGTAATTTGGTGAAGGCTATTATTATACATTGCCATGATTTCCTGAATTGAGTGGTTAATCGGATGGATGCCATGGTTTTTGGATTTATTTTATTTACTTTTACTTTCCAATAGAAGGGATGTGATTTTGTGTGACAATTCAATAATTGTACTAACAAATTGGATAGCATACAACGATATTTCTTTGGATGAAGGCTGATGTTCTTTCCGGTTCATGCCATTTGATAGAAATTGTTTATCCAATTAATTGCAGTGGAGTGCAATGACCATGTGAAGAAAAATTTCTTGGCTAATTGTAGTAAACTAGTGATAAAATATATTTATAGAAAAAATATGTAGGTTACCTTGACATTGTTTCATGGTTACAGGTCTTCCCATATGGATCGGTTCCATTAAAAACATATCTTCCAGATGGCGATATTGATTTGACTGCACTTAGTGGTCAGAATATTGAGGATGCATTAGTATCTGATATTCATACCGTCCTAAGGGGGCAGGAAATCAATGAAGCTGCTGAATATGAAGTAAAGGATGTTCGCTTCATTGATGCTGAGGTGCTTGCCACCCTCCTTGATATTTTATTGGGATATTAATATTTTTATTGATTTAAATTAGAGTTCCAGGGTGGTTATGAGCCTTAATATGTTGAATCTGCATTCAGTTTCAATTTAGAGGGTAATAAATTTTACTCTCTAGTAGGGAATGGAGATCGATGCCCCCTTTGGGGTTGAAAATGCCTTAATTTTATGCACAAGTGCCCTTTTACTCACCTTCCTGTTCTTTATTCCAAGAAGTGCTATTATTTTCAACTTCATTTTTTAGCTTAGTAAGAGTAATTGTTTCTTTGGTTATTGTAGAGTAGTGAACTTTATTTTGGTAACTTTGGGTAGAATTTGAATGAGTCCTGCCAATTTTGATTTGTATGAAATCTCTGTTAATCTGTGAAATATTTTGAGTAGAACATTTTTTATTTTATAACTTAGGAGATCTCTATTGGGATGAGCAACAGCAACTTCTTGTGTGAAAAAGGATGCCGTGCAGGCAAAGCCATTATCTTCCTGTAATCTGTGGAAACAAAGTTCTCTTATCCTTGGCTCATGTGAATGTGATTTTATAATATCCCATGTCCTTCCTGTCCCCTTTACCATGGTGATCAAAGTCTCCTTATTTATGTTAATATACGATTTGAATTTTATTTTTTTTCTTGGATGAGGAATTCTAACTGGTATTCAGGGCTCAACGTTATTCTTTTCTTTTGTGGGCTTCAAAATGTTCCTAATTATGCACACATTGCTGAAACAATATATCTGGTTGTTTCTGCCAACCATGTTTGTTTTTGAGCTGCTTGTCATTTGCATTTTTTGTGTTAAGTAAGAAAGGAGCTTTTTATTTGCTGAAAAAGCTAAAATATGGATTGCTGAAGAGTTATTTGTCTAGTGATTCATTTTGTAGATAATTGTATTTGTCTTATATTGAGGTGTTGGGGTTTACTCATTTGCAGGTTAAGCTTGTCAAATGCATCGTGCAGAATATTGTGGTAGATATTTCTTTCAATCAGTTGGGAGGACTCTGTACATTATGTTTTCTTGAAAAGGTATCTTCTGAAGACCACCAACCACTTTTGAAATATTGGGTCAGGGACACTTTTGCTCTGCGCATGAGAAGGCAGGATGATGCATGTTTACTGTTCTCTTGTGTATTGCTCTATTTGGAGCCCCTAGAGTTTTGACGTAAGGCTTAATACTCAATGAATTTTGCCACTTGCATGCATTCTTGCGTGATAGTTTGGAGTTATTTCACTTTGATGCAGTTTGGCTCTTCCATTTTGTTGTTGCATTAATTGAATTCATTGGTAATTGATTTCTGCTTTTATAATGACAGGTTGATCGTCTTGTTGGAAAGGATCATCTTTTCAAGCGTAGTATTATCTTGATAAAAGCTTGGTGCTACTATGAGAGTCGTATCCTTGGTGCCCACCATGGTCTGATTTCAACATATGCTTTGGAAGCGCTAGTTCTTTATATTTTCCATCAATTTCATTTATCCCTAGATGGTCCACTAGCAGTAAGTTCTCCAGCAAATCTCCTCTGGTCCTACTTTTTCAGAAAAATGGGGGAAAAAAAAGGAGAAACTATTTAAATTGCATGATGCTTTTGATGCATCCTTTTTTTCCTGAAAATTTTCCTTTCTACCTAATGTTTCAGGTTCTATATAGATTTTTGGATTACTTCAGCAAATTTGACTGGGACAATTATTGCGTTAGTTTGAGGGGGCCAGTTAAGAAGTCTTCACTGCCGGATATAGTAGGTGCGCAATATATTTATGTTTGTTGATCAAACACCATCATGATTGATTTCCTGATTCTCTATTTCTTTTGGTGAAGCTGAGGCGCCAGAAAATGGGAGTTCTCTACTTCTAACAGAAGAATTTATCAGAGATTGCGTGGAATCGTTTTCAGTTCCTTCTAGGGGGCTTGAGCAAAGCATGCGTGCATTTCCCCAGAAACACCTTAACATCATTGATCCATTAAAGGAAAACAACAACCTTGGGCGCAGTGTTAATAGAGGTATTAAGGACCTCATCATTTGATCCGAATGGTTGAATTATGTTCCCGCAGATGATATTAACACTGTGAGATGATGTCCCTCCCCCCCCCCCCCCAACCGAAACTTATAATTCTGTATTTAGAATCCTACCTTTGCTTAAAATATCCCCTTTAATTTGAGAATTTGTTGAGTTATTTTAGGAGATTTAAATGTGAAAAACTGGCAGATTAGTCTTAACAAGTCATGCTCAGTGAGTACAGATGAGTCACTTGTTACAGAAGATCCTTCTAATTTGGGAAATGGCTCTAAAGGGTTGTGTTGAGCAGGGCTGTTAAGATTGTGACTCAGATTACAAGTTCTCATGATCCCGCCATTTATTTATCTCAATTCTAAGTGGGATTCAGATATGCCAGGACTGCAACCTGGTCATAGAATCTTTTGTCCAAGTGCGATCATTGAAGGAACTTGATTTCTTTTCTTTCTTTCTTCCCCTTTTTTAGTGTAAGAACTGAATGCATTGCTCCTGGAGAGTGAGAATGGTGTGTTCAAGACTTCTGGCAGTCCAGGACTGTGCGATCTAGTTGAGGGGTTTGAAGATCTCTTGAGTCTTTTGTTTATGCATCTTCCTTATGGAGGTCATTCTCGTCTTCTATTACCCATCTCTGCTTTGCTCACTAGATGAAGCATTCATTGTGCTCCTTTCGCCTTTATTGAAATGATAAGCTCATAGCACTTTTTTTTTTTTTTTGGTGACTTTAGTGAGAGTGGCAAGGAAGTTTGACGATTCAATTAAATATTCTGAAGTTCCACAATGTAACCCTGTTTCGCGCTTTTTTGACTGTGATGAGAATGTGGACCAGAATAAAATGGCAACGCAAAGCCGGAAAGAGCCAAAACAGCACTTCTACCCAGAAGTTGGACCATTGCCTTACTTTTTCTAAATTTTACCTTACTCCATTTTGAGTGGTGGTACTTTATTTTATCCTGTCCAAGTAAACCAATTAGAAATTGAGTTTTTCTCAATTCTTTGAATTACGAGGCACTGGTGATTTATGAGTTGTGTTAAATAAATCATGATTTTTTAAAAAAAAAATTTATGGGTTGTGCTGAAGTATTTGATAGTAAATTATTCTGAATTTTATGTAGCTATAAAATGTTATCATAGACAGCAGCATAGGGTCCCATCTCCATGCAATTTGATCTTTTTGACCCCATGACCATTCCTGTTTAAGACCTTGATCTAAACAACAATGATCTTGAGTGCATCCCTCTTAAGTTTTATGCAATAGAAAAAACGCCTTGAGCACTTAAATTATATGTACTTAGAGGGGAAGTTTCCTTCATTATTTGCTGACAATGTCCGTATTTGTTTCCTCATGAGGTGTGTTGCCTTTCTAAACAATGTCATGTCATTCATCTTTTCCAGTGGCATAACTAGATGTGCTGACTCTGCTGCTCTGCCAAAAAAAAAAAAAGAAAAAGAATCCAAAATAGCCACTATGTGTCTTCATTTAATATCGTCATGCCATTCATTCTCTTGTAGGTAACTTCTATAGGATACGCAGTGCCTTCAAGTATGGAGCCCGTAAACTTGGCTGGATTCTTATGTTACCCAAGGATAAAATAGAAGATGAGCTGAATAAGTTCTTTGCAAACACTTTGGATAGGCATGGAAACACACAATGGGATGACATCCTATTGCCAAGTTTGGCTTATGGTGCAAGAGCTTTTGACTTTTCATCCTCCTCTGACTCTAGATCTTTCCCAGAGGACATGGCACTTCTCAATTTGTCAGGTGGACTTAACAAAGATACTATGATGGAAGGTCGACATAACTCTGAAGTCAGAGATGAAGTAGAGCGAAATCTAGTAGAAGATATCTCCGCCCATGCAGGGCCATCATACAATTCCAGTCTAGATAAAAATGTAGTTTCAGGGTATTTTCCTGTTGAAGATTTTAATAGTGTTGCTACTTCTGGAGTCTTGGGTATGGTGAGTAATGGTTCGTCATATTCAAATGTGAGGACTCTCTTGAGTAATTCAGGGTCAGGAAAGCATTTAATTCACTCCAATCTTGGCTTGCTAAGAGAAAATGGGAATGTTGAAAATGGGATTTCTTGTACCGAATCAGCTGTGAATTCTTTTCTTGATGATGAGAAAGTGAAGCCTGGTATGGTGAGCAGTTCAGTCTGTTCAACTAATAATGAGAAGAACGTTTCATCATATGGTTCAGCAGTTTTGAATAATGCAGCTGATAACTTAGATGGTGTTTCCTCTTCTGATGGTGATAGATGCGCTGAAAGTGTTTCTGGAGGCTCTGAAGCTTCGAAAGCTTTGTTGGACCTGACTGGAGATTATGACAGTAACATTAGGAACCTACAATATGGTCAGCTTTGTCACGGTTTTGCTGCCCCTCCTCTTGTGGTGCCTAGTCCCCCCATGTCTCCTAGGTTACCGAATAGGAATCTATGGGAAACTGTTCGTCAGGGTTTACAGATTAACCACAACATTCATCCTCAGGCAAACTCTAATGGTATTGTTGTGGGACCACAACTTTATGTTGTAAATCAACCTACTCTCCCCATTGCCTCGTTTGGTCCTGAAGAGAAGAGAAAACCACGAGGAACTGGAGCATACTTCCCCAATATGGTATCTGTAGAAAGTTATTTAGATGTAATATCGTTCCCATAGATACATGCTTCTGAGCTATTTATGTTTGTATGGATGGAGCTTTGCAGTTGAAATCTAACCGTCAAGCTCATAATTTTGCAGGCTTCCCGCCCATACAAGGATAGGGCAACACCTGGAAGGGGAAGGGGCCAAGTTCCTGGGGCTCATGGACAACTGCAGAGACACACACGTAAATATGGTATGGCTCCAGCTCTGCAAGAAGTGAACGTGTCTGTGGATGGTATCTTTGAGCCTGCATTAGAAGGGTATCCACTTATTGGCAATATTAGACCCAGGTTGTCTGATACATATTTCTCTCAACCTTCCACACGGGGATCTCAATACGCTAACGGTTTCCTTCATCCATCTGAGAAACATGAGGCTGACACTGTTAGCCCTCAGCTGCGGGGACCATCAAGAACTGATATAAGCAGTCATCCAGAACCTGGCATTTCTAGTTCTGGAGGCTCTGTGCCTAGCTCAGGTGTCATGGCAGAGGAGAGTCCTAATTCAATAGCTGGAGTCGATCACAAAAGGTAATTAAAAATCTCCGTTTTTGCTTCTTGAAATGTTGAAGAGATGTGTTAAATTATTGGCATTTGTTTTCTGAGATTGAAGCACTACATGGTTATAGCTTGTGCCCGGTAGTTTTCCTTTCTTTTTTTAAGGGGATGTGTATGGTTTGGGATTCAGGATTGAAGTGCAGGCCTATCATTTGAAGGATGAAGATGACTTCCCCCCACTTTCTCACTGACTGCTACTGATGAATGGGGAATATGTAGTAGCATTAACAGTAATGGTCAATACATGGAAACAACAATTATGCCTTTCAGCGGGTGTAGCTAAAGGATGGCGATTTTGTGAGAATAAGAACAGTGTGCACTCATCTGAAAATGGAAGATAGTTTCCCTCCACTCTGGGAATACATAGAACTGAGTAGTTCCAAATAAGTAGAAAAATGCTGAGAATAACAGTAGACGCTAACGAACTAGGCTTTAGTTTTGATGGAGATGAGACATCCGTTTTCCCTTGTTTTCTTGCTCCAGTTGGTTTATTGTACAAAAGTGCGTGTAAATACTGCTCCTCCCTCCTAAATTTGCGATTGTTGCCGTTATTTAGAGATGTATATATCAGGCAATGCTTCTGAAATTGTGTTCCTAGTTCCGTTGTTTTTGTAATACTGAAGATGTTAGATATCTCATGGGAATGGATACACAGGATTCTGGCAGTTGCAGTTTATATACCTCTAGTTTTAATCTGGACCTTTAGGTTTAGTACAGGATTTCATGCGTGACCTTGCTTGATATGATCAGATGTGGAGAAACAATACTGGTTTCTACTCTTCATATACTTGTTCTCAAGTGGTGAAATGCAAGACCTTTGCACCACCCCGGCTCGTATTTGGCATTGTTATATATGCAGCCCGGTGAATAAGCATGGGCTGTGTGCGCAGTGAAATCCATTAGTGTTGAACTGTTGTGAATTAAGTGAATATGTGCTAGCTACAAGCTTTATTTTAAAGTGAAGAACAGATTAAAGATCTTTGTGCAGTATTCTAAATCTTTTTCTCCCTTTCTTTTTATCTTTCTTAGGGCAGCTTATTTCAATTATTTATTTCGTTTTCTTCTTAATTGAGAACGAATCAGTTATTCTGTTCATTTTATTTGATATTCCCCCATTGTTTTTCATGGCAGAAGCAATATTTATGGAGTCCATGGCCAACCAAATAGGTTTCCACGAGAAACATAACTAGTTTCCACAATGTAGCTCACATGGGGTTTCAGTGTAACCTTTTATCCCCCCACCCCCCAAAAAAACGTTAGATTAGTAGCTGGAAGATGACCTGGGTGATCCATCTCCACCCCAACCTGATTTTATTCAGATTAGAGGTGCCAAATTGGAGCAGGTAGAAAATAGGTTTGCACAGGCTAGGCTTTTGCGAGGCTATCTGTCCCAGTTTTTTTGTTTTTGTATTTTTTTTTTAAATTTAACTGGCTCCATAGTTGGTGTGTATGTAAATTATATTTAATTCGCTTCTACGTAGTTTAGGCACGACCGAATTCAAGTGACTATTGTAATTGTTGTAAGGATAATATATCGTGTACATAGTATGTTTCTGATGAGAAAAAGACAAAAATAGCAAGAGGAATTTGCCCATGCAATGTATGCAGTGTGATTGCAATGTCAAGATTGAGAATGATTAGCTTGATTTTGTATATTAACACTTGTGAACATAAGGAGGTATTGGATTTTTACAATTTAATGATAAGGATAATCTAATGTTACAAGTCCACCCATGCGATGATGCATGAGGTGTGACTAATTTTCAACAAAAAATTGCGATGGCAAGGGAATTTTAGCGCCAAAGTCTTGTGAGAAAATCTTGCACGTACGTGATTCGTAAGTTGTCATAAATTCCATGTTTATTGGGGGATCGTCATACTAATCTCTTGCAATTATTGTCATCGTAATAGTAATTTCAAGCTCCGTGTGATTTATAAAAATTACAAACTAGAATTTTCGGGAATGGATGTCCAATTTTCATAAAAAAATGATTTTTGTTTGATTGATTTTTTTTTTTTAACTAGGCACAGCATTATGTTATTAAAAGGAGGTATTTTTCTTCGAACCTGTAGGAGGACTAACCTTTTTTCAACTTGATCCAGCCTCTAACCTAAACGTGAACCCTTTCATGAAAAATCTGACATTAGACCCGTATGATATAATCACACAAACTTCAAATATTTTGCGGACTTAACATGTTGTGAAGTACGTAAAAGCCCAAAAGGCCCAGGTGGAAGATCCACATCAGTGCTTCAAACTTGTTCTTTTTCTGCTCCTATTTTGTGGGCTTCCCCGCTTTTCATAAACGCCCGTCTATTAGGTGTAAAATTAAAAAAAGTAAACAATGATTAATTGGTTTTTCCCAAGCAAATCAACAAGCACCAGTGGTCTAGTGGTAGAATAGTACCCTGCCACGGTACAGACCCGGGTTCGATTCCCGGCTGGTGCACTTCAGTAGGGCGATGATGACTCCGTGTGCCAACTGTGACGGATGATTCTGTCACCGGCGTCAGATCTTCTGACGAATATAGGCGCATCTGAGCTCTCTGTTTTTAATTATTTTTTCCATCTGTAAAATCTTCTCATCACTAATCTTTTATTTGAAAGATGTTTGATTGGTTTGTAACTCTATGCAAACACAGGTCGTCCCACCTGGTGTTGTTCTCAATACAACCCCCACATTATTCCGAACACAGTCTCGTAGTGCTTCTGCCTGTTTCACCCAAGCTCCATCGTTTCTGCCTTCTTATTTCCACCACTCATCTTTTCAACTTAACTTTACCAGCTAGCCCTACTTACTGTAACTGCCGCTGTGGTTTTTCTTTGTCTTCCTTTTCTTACGTGTTGACATGCATATATAAATATGGCAAATAAAAAAGACGCCTGTGCTTTGATCCAAAATGGAAGTACAGTTTTGTGGTTGGAGATCAACCTTAGGCCACAATTATTGGCATCTTTCCTCTGTTCATCGCAGATTTTGAAATCAAAGTTTGGTGGGATTTTTGCCTCCCACCTTCTTCATCGTGGTTGTGGATTTAATTTGTTGTCCAAGCTACTCACGATCTGTGAATTTCATCATGATTGGATTCCCTGCAGCATGGGAGAAAGTTTTAGCTTCGTTTAAATTATTGAGACTGCATTAAATCAATCATGTGTATTGTGTGGGACGGTTTGTATGAGATTGAGGTATGTTTTTGTGCCTGTGCCTGTGAGAGAGACATATGTTCTTCTTTTGTTTTTTTGTTTTTTATTTCAACTTGTTTTCATATAAGATCACATTGAACTTCATCTAATTCAGATTTGAGATTAAGAGTTTTAGAGGCAGCTTTTGCAAAATTATCTTTCACATTTACGTCAAATTCGGACGCCTAGTCTCAGGTTAAAGTGATCATACACTTGTTTTCATTAATTGGCATTTATTACTGCTGCAGTGATGTGAAATGAATTTTATGATGAAAACGATATTAATTAATTAATTGATTGATTAGTTCGGATGATGAATATGAAATTTTCAAGAAAAAAATGATCCTTGTGCTGAAATACAAGAAAATAAGTCAAATTTGCTTTCGCGTAAAGATAATTTTAATTATGAAAAGAAAGATCTCATTTTCAAAGGAGATAAGAACGAAAGCCAATGAAAGGACTCTATCGAATAAACAATGGCCAATACGTATTGTCAGTTTGAAAATTATCTTATATTATGATTCAATCAATTCAACTATGGTCAACTCACCGATCCATAATAATATTTTCCTAGGGGGGGCTTACAGTAAATTTTTAAAATATTTAAGCCAAAAGGACTCTACACGAGGTAAACATTAATTATTTATATGATGAATTTTTCATGGAATCAGTATCCTGATTCTTTTAGTGGTATAATTTTATTCATAATTTTTTTATGCAATTAATGAGAATATTTTAAAAAATAGGCTAAAGTATACTTTTTATTTTGATGAAGGCTAAAGTATACTTTTAATCATTTAACTTTACACAAGGTTTTATTTTGGTCCCTTAACTTTAAAAAGTAAATTTTTAGTCCTCTAATCCTAAAACTATTAACAAAAAATAATGATATTAAACTTTTGAATGCTTATAAAATATTACTAAATACTAAAATATTAAGTTTAACATTTTAAAGAACCATGATTGTTACAAAAAATTATTATTTAAGACTAATAATTTTAGAGTTAAAGAACTAAAAATATACTTTTTAAAGTTAAGGGATCAAAATTAAACCTTACATAAAATTAAAGGACCAAATGTATAATTTAGTCTTGAACAATAAATTATATTTATAACTGAGAATATTTTGGAGAATGAATTGTATTTATAACTAAATTTAACTCCCAACTATTTTTTATATTAAAAAAAAAAGATAGTAACATTATTTGTTGCTGGACTATTCTTGGACGGCTTATATTTATTTGTCTTCAACCAACCCAAAAAGAATATCATAATTAAAAATCTCCAGTACATGGTACCTATAGGATTATATATTCCATCAACAACGAGCCGTCATCTTTTTAACCTTTTTTAAGGTTAATGCAAAAAGATTAGTTAAATAAAAGACTTATTATTTCCCTATAGAATAGAAGACTTCTTCGTTAGTAGTTGTGGTCAAATAGAAGAGTTCGGACAAGTTTTTTTTTTTAATTTTTTATCACCGTGAACAATTTTTTAATTTGCTCAACCTTGACAAAAAAAGTTACGTGGCTCAGTAATTATTCATTTATTTATTATATAACTGATGATCATAAAGCAATTCGTGATTTTGTGTGTGTGTGTGTGTTCCCCTTTTTTCAGAGGTTTTAAGTTTTCATTGAAATTAATTTAAACTTCTGAGTATAGAATTTATGCTGCAGAAAGTGGTTTATACTTTTCTGAATTTTTCATATGCTTAAAATATGGCTGGATCTCGTTAGATTCCATTATCCTTGATCATTATCGAATATAGGACCAGAAAAGAAAAGGGAGAATAAAACTAAAAATACTGCCCTTTATATATATATATATATATATATATATATATATATATGCATATATATGACAAAACTCACCTCCAGTTGCTTATATCTTGGCTGTCCAATTTCCTGATGAGTAAGTGCCACTTAGATTTTTTTTTCAACACATGCTCTCTCTCCATTTCCTTCCATGATCTTCCAATTACAAACGTGAATAATATTATCGACACAGTTTTGTAAGTTACAACTTACAAAAATAAAAGTAAAAAACAAAAAAATTTAGAAAGTTAACTTATGAGTTTGACAATATAATTATTGAAAATTTCTTTAAGCACTACATTTAAAATTGTATACATGAATAATTAATATTTTCACTCGCAAGAAAGAAAAACGTAGTTAATATTTTTAAATCTCGTGTGCGCGGATATAACAATATATAGTAAATGATGTGTAAATATAGATTTTGATGAGAAAATATAATTCATAGCCTATCATAGACTTTAATTAGGGCTTTATCTAGTTATAACAAAAAAGATAATATATATAATCAGAAGTTGTCTTCACAGTAATTAATTCTGATATTCCCTTTTTTGCTTCTAGGACGTTGTAACTTGGGTGACAATTTAGTTGAGCATAACAGTACACGGCTCTGCTCAAATGATCAATAATAAACATGCATGAGATTTATTGTCTGCGAATGCTTGTTGAATAAATAACTATAATCACGTATGTTATATATGTTCAAAATAATTAGTTATGATTAAGGATATCAACTTAAATTACACATGCGCGCACATCTTTTATTTAGTGTTTAGGTAAAAACTAAAAGATATCAACTTAAATTACACATGCGCACACATTTTTTATCTAGAAAAAAACTAAACCATGAATTTTAAAAGACGATTTCACAATGTATAAAGTAAATATATGAAATTAAAAGTATTGTTTCGATTTATATAAAAATATTTTAAAAAGTACTTTTAGATTAAACCAAACACTCCCCGACTTAATTAAATTCACTTAAGATGTCTCATTCAAACCATAGAATCTCTTCCTACAAAGCATCAAATTGCAACAACTCATCCTACAATAATTTAAACATCACCTCCGTCTGTATATATTTATACATGTATATAATACAAAGATGATGTAATTCCTGGCAAAAAAAAAAAAAACAAAGAAAAAGAAAGATGATGTAATTGGGATTCTTGTTTTTGGACGATGTGAGATTTTTTTTTTTCCTTTTGGGTTCGGGTTCAGTCAATTAAATATTATATTCTTTTTCAGTCAGACCCATGAATATTTATTTAATATTTTATTTCAAACAAAAACAACATACTATTATAATTGAAATGATATTTCCTCAATTAGTACCGACATAAATTTGACAGAGTTATATTATGATAATCTAATTTATCACAATAGAGTTTTGATGGGATACGGATAACAAGCGAGCCAGGAGTAGAGTTATATTTTAAAGATTGTTTGAGTGCATTCCCAGGCTATCGAGCAGGAAGCAAAACTTGACTTGATCAGTAGATGAAGCCATGAAGAATTTTATAAATGACAAGTCATAACACTTCTTAAGTATTTTTCACATATGAAATTACAAGTTCGACATTTTGGAGATTTACTTTGGGGAGTTATTATTTCCTCTAAATGAATGATAGCAAGAAAAAAAAATTCACACGGTTTAATTTCAAAACAGTGCCTCCAAAGTGGAATAATTCAGGAATTAGATTATACTTTAAAATTATATTCCAAGGAGAAATATCTTCTTTCGGTAGGGCATACTTTTCAGAATAATACAAGTTGTAACTGCTGAACGATGTTATGAGAAATAGACATTTTTATAAGACGTTATTCCACAATGCATGCATCTATCTCATGAGGCGGCCCAACAAATTTCCCAGGAAGAAACAAGCGAGCTAAATTCCACAGAGAAGTGTCCATAGCTATTTTTCCCACTTACTTCACATCGAAGCAAATAATCCCTCAGGTTAATTAATACCTCCGCCAACTGAATCAGTATACAGAAACACCGGATAAACATGAAACCCGAAGCATTAAATTCACGTCGAATCGATTCAAAATCATCCATCATCAACGCTCCAAGTAAAAGGACAGCCAAACATGGGTCTGGAATGAATTATAATGCAAATAGAAACTGCATCCACCAATATGATATTACGGCCATGGCTGGAAGAGTTAGCTGGTGGAGCCACTGTCCAGCCTTCAAAGTCAACCTCGTCATCCATGACATCCTCAAACTTGGAATCTTTTCCTTCGTGACATTATCACTAGCCCTTCAATCTTGCCACCTCGCTCTTAATGTGGCACCCACCAAATACTGTAATCATTATCGTGATACCGTTTACTCTCTCTGCCCTGCATATTTGCTCAAGCTTGAGTCTTTGCCTATATATCCTCAGCTCTCCACCTTCTTCTCGGCCCTCAAAAATCCTTCTTTTCTGAGTCTCCAATCGTCTGATTTTGCTCCTCTTTCTGGGTATTTGCCAAGTTCTGGTTTTTTAACCTTTCTAACCCTTGGGGGGATGCTCTGTTAACCGTCGATGCTCACAGCAAAGCGTGGCCACGGATTCTCCAAGTTCCGTGCGCTAGTGCTATCAAAAATACCTCATGGCCTTATCTAAAGCGACAATTCTTTTTCGCATAGTGAATACCCGAAACTGACCCTGCCCAGTATCCGTATGCATGATAGGACCCCTTCAAATTTCTTGGGGAAAAGGGAATTTGCAGGAACCTGTCACTTTTGTGCAAGAATTATCCGTTTATGCTTTCACCTCAATAGTACTGTCGCGTCAAATATTGCATCTGTGATTTTCGTTTTCAAAAGGAACAAGAAAGAGAACAGCAAATGGTTGCTAAAGACTACGACCACTTGACATGCGCGGTTGTGGAGGTGGGAAAAATAATGCGTAGTATTGAGTTCTCAAGGCTCTTCTGGCTATTCTTTGGGGTCTTCTCCCACGCAAGCCACGAGAGAGAGCCTCGGATTTAAGAATTTGCTTTAAGGAAATATAAATTTTCTGCTCTTTTCTTTCCTTCTGCAAAAAGTTTTATTTGCGAATTAAGTATTTTGAAGTACAGAAAGTGATTGTTAGCTGGAGCAAATAGCCAAGGATCAAACATGTATGGCAGTAAAGAGCATAAGGATGAGATTAAAGGACACCACGGTTATGTGGAAACCGACCCAAGTGGTCGTTATGGGAGGGTGAGTTCTAAAGTCTCAATCCCATGTTTCTTTCTATCTTTCTCTATTTCTCTCCATTCGTTTTTGGCATTTATTGTGCTGATTGACTCGGGGTAAAGGTTTCTGGTCCACGTGAATGGGATTAGCGAGACGAATGTTATAAGATGGAGTTCTGTGTGTATGTGTGTAGTTGAATGTTTTTACCGTTATTTTGCCCATAGATAGATATTTTTTGTGGAGCCTGAACCTTGTGATATTGTTATTTGGATAGATTCTTATCAATTTTGGTGTTTCTTAACGGTAGATAAACTTCTAAAATTCATTTAGTTGAGAGGAGTCCCTGGTTCAAATATAGCATATATAATCAGCTGCAAAATTATTGGGACATTTTTACCCTTTTCGATCCTCCAAAGATGACGCCGTGTCTCATAGTTGTAGAACTCTCAACTATAGTCTTGTTTCATTATCTTTCTTCTTGTTTCAATTTTGTAGTCTTGTTTCAAAACGATTGAGAAACACATATTTTGTGGGTTAAAAAAAAAAAAAACTTTCAAGTAATGAAGTGATACCCCAAAAAAAAAAAAAATCTTTGAGGAAGTCAACTGATATATCGGATGTCAATTGATATATCGGTAATCTTTATGGGGTTGTAGTCAATTGTCTACATGGGTGTTGTGAAGGCAGAAGCAATCTTCATGGCACTATTGAAGTTGTTGAGAATCAGACTTGTATGAGTGGGCAACACGTTTTGGTCGCCTTTACCATTCACAGGACGGTTATGTTAATCTACCTCGATCTCTGCTTAGCAATATATTGCAGTGAAGCATTTAAGCATTTTAGAAAACTTTGGTCAGGTTGGAAAGTAGAGACCATTTTTCTTTTTCATTTGAAATAAATTAGGCATTAAAAGTTTCATCATACAGATCATTATTCTGACTTACGTTCTTTGATCTATGTGATTAGTTCGGAGACATCCTTGGAAAAGGAGCAATGAAAACAGTATACAAAGCTATTGATGTGGTCCTTGGAATAGAGGTAGCATGGAACCAGGTCAGATTCAACGAGGCACTTCGCACACCGGATGATTTGCAGCGGCTTTACTCAGAGGTTCATCTTCTCAGTACCCTGAAGCACCAATGCATCATAAGATTCTACACCTCCTGGATTGATGTTGATAACAAGACCTTCAATTTCATTACAGAAATGTTCACTTCTGGGACACTGAGAGAGTAATTTTCTTCTTGGCAATTTCTCGAGGCCTGTATTGTAGTTCCTTAGATTGGTCATGCTAAATCTTTGATAGTCAGAATTTAAGTTACATACCTCTTTTATTTTAACCCTGACATTATTCAGATGCTCCAATATATAATGAATCATATTCTATGTATGGGCCTTGATTATTTCATTTGTTTTATGTTTAGGACTGATAATCTGAACAAGATTTTGTTTTATATAATCTATGTTATCTGAAAGTGACTTATTCATATACTTTTATGAAACGTTTACGGGAGATTAGGCACTAAATTAGAACATTATCATGATCTTGTGGGATATGTTATGAACTTTGCCTCCTAGTGGCAGTCCTTGATATGAAGTGTCCGATGTACTATATTGGCTTTTTAGATTCTTGACAAAATGGTTGATTAGTTTCTCGCCTATGGTTGTACAGATACAGGAAGAAATATACGCAAGTTGGCATACAAGCAATAAAAAATTGGGCTCGCCAAATCTTGCAAGGTCTTGTTTACCTACATGACCATGATCCTCCAGTCATCCATAGGGACCTCAAATGTGATAACATATTTGTCAATGGCCATCTTGGACAAGTGAAAATTGGCGATTTGGGACTAGCAGCTATTCTCCGTGGTTCCCAGTCTGCCCACAGTGTTATAGGTGCTTATTTTGATGTTTATGAGTGTTGCAGGAATTGAACTACTTCATTTATCATGGATTGAAATTCTTTCCTTTTTGCTAGGCACCCCAGAATTCATGGCTCCAGAACTATATGAAGAAGAATACAATGAACTTGTTGATGTGTATTCATTTGGCATGTGCGTTTTAGAAATGCTTACATCTGAATATCCATATGGTGAATGTGCTAATCCTGCACAGATTTACAAAAAAGTAACATTGGTAAGTTCCAGTGTTGGTGTAAGATTCATGGTCATTTGCGAAGCCTAGTTTTAATTGTGTGCAACTTTTCATAACCAGGGGAAGCTACCCGCAGCACTTTTTCGGATTGAAGACACAGAAGCACGGAAGTTTGTTAGAAAATGCTTGGTAGCTGCAGCAGAAAGACCATCAGCAAAAGAATTATTGCTCGATGCCTTTTCTTTCATCTAATGACGCATTATCAAGTACAAAGTTTGAGATTCAAAAGCCACTGTTGAATGACATTGAGATAGAAAAGTTGCATTTGACCGATGGTTCACACAGGACTGGAATGAAAATCACGGGGAAGCTGAATCCAGAGGATGATACAATATTTCTCAAAGTTCAAATTACTGATAAAGATGGTATCTACCCTTTTATTAATGCTTGATGTCTCCTCGAGTTTACTTCAAACAAAACATCTTTTAAGCATATCAGAGTGCATGGTTACATTTTGATAGTAACATGTCAGTTTACAAGTGGATTTTAGCCATAATATTGGCTAAAGATATAACTGCAAGAAAAGAATGGCAATACAGCTCAGTAGCAGCTCACAGGCTCAAGTGATGAAACGATTTTCCTTCTGTCTTTTCCTGCAGGTTCTGCAAGGAACATTTATTTTCCCTTCGACATTTTAACGGATACTCCCATTGATGTTGCAATGGAGATGGTGAGAGAGTTGGAGATCACTGATAGGGAGCCATTTGAAATTTCTAGTATGATTGAAGCAGAGATAGCCGCTCTGCTGCCACACAGGAGGAAGAGGGACTGCTTAGATACCTTTCATATGTTCAATTATCAGAATGATGACAACAATGACCCTCAATATCATTTTGGCTCATTATCATCTTGTTCATCATCCCAAGAATCAGTATCAGGCATAGTCACAAAAGCTGAGGAGCTACCCAATGGATATTACTGGCTCCATGGTTTGTTTCCTCTGTCCCTCTACCCCCTAGTTTTATTGCCCTAGTAAATGTCCTATTTGAGGCGGTATACTCCTTGAGTAATTAGTTAGTCATTTTAATTTAGTGTGCCATTGGAAATAACACTACTCAAAACAGGTGTGTGGTATTTTTAAAACTTCAAACAGGGAAATGGAATTGAATCCCTACGTCCTCTTCAGGCATTAAAATAATATTCCCTTCCCCGTAAATCTTCTGCTGCTTTTTATAAATTCCAAAGTTAAATTAATTGCAGTACCTGCAGTAATGTTGCAATGTAATTTTGTTGCAGATGACTTGGTCGATGATTCCAGTTCCCGATGCTCTTCACAGGGGACATATTCCAACTTGAATTATGTTTCTGCGGATGACCAGGAATACATTGTGACTCATACCAGAAAAGATAAATTATCAATGCCTAAGAGTCAGAAATGTAAAATGTTTTCCCCTGGTGAAGACCTAAGCACTGGATTGTCTACGTCTGGAACAAGTGGCAACCACTGTAAAGTTTTAGTGGGACCACATGCTGCTGCATCTACTAGTAAAAACAAGAAGGTAGACAATCGTAGCTTGACAAGGAACAATTCATTTATTGATGTACATAGCCAGATGCTACACCGTTCCCTAGTTGAGGAGGTAAGCAAGAGACGTTTATTCAAGACAGTTGGAGCTGTGGAAAATATTGGATTTCAAAATCCTCTTGAGGCTACCAGAAAAAAATTACAGCCAGCTTTAGATGTGAAATCTTCAAAGAGTGGCAAGGGACATGGACTTCGAAGTTCTTCTTTGAACATCAAAAATGAAAAGGATAGATAGCATAATCTTTTCTTCAAGGGATAGAGAGTAAGATCTTGCTGGTGTGTGGAGTCATCAGATTCAAGAACTGGTTGACAATTGTGAAAAAAATCCACCTCAATAGGGTGTTAATAATACTTGTAAGATGTACATGGAGTATGCTGTGCCGAACAGAAATAAGTGCTTCTTGAAGATGAAGCAAGTCTCCTCAGGGAAGCTGAATCAGCATGCACTAATATTTCCCATATGAGGATAAACAATGAAGCAATTTCACCAAGTAATGAGATCGATGGTGGTGGATAGCTTTATTACTTATCTATCTGGGTTCTCATTTGAGACCGCAGAGTTGCATGCTCTTGATGAGTTTGTGGCTATTACTTGCTCAGGTCGATGCCACCAACACCAAGCGTATATGTGCAGTTATTTTTTGTACGGATTGTTATGGTGACACGCATTTTTCTAGTGTCAATAATTGATACGTTAGTGCGATATTTGCTAGATCTGGTTAAGCATCGCATACAGAATACATGATGCGTGTGCCTGGCTTTTCTGGCTTGAATTGACCTTTTCTTAAGCTGCGATTAATTAAATAACTGAAAATTTTTAGGTGTTCTTTTATGAAAGATAGGCGAAGTAAATCAACTATCAACTAATTTAATATGGAATCTTATAGCCAATACTGAAAAAATTTTAGTTCAACCTTAAATAGCATACAAAGTTGGACAAATTTGATCTATCCAAGATACTTTCTTGTGTTAAGAGGAGTTATAACCAAGAAACGCACTTATGATGAAAATAATTACTGTGACAAGCTCGAAGCAAAACCACCTTTTTCTTCGCGTGGTAAATAACTAAATGCAGCAAGAGCAAGCGGTTGCTTTTAACTTTTGAGGCCATGATTCTATGTAACCATGCCTGTTAGAAAGAAGTTATAATGTTTGCCACTTGATTGTGAAGCCAAATTATATTGGATCTTTGTTGAATGATATTGTCAAATTCTGTTCTCGCATGTGTGATCGAGCTCTATCATGAGAAATAATACGTTGTATAATTCAAGTCCTAGGTATAAGCTGAGGCTGGCTGGAATCTGCGCTCTCTGCCTTATCGAGATTTCCTTCCCCCCCCCCCCCCCCCAAAAAAAAAAAAAAAGGAGTAGTAAAGGGCGGAAGGCCAACTCATAAATATTTCTGTACGTGGGGACTGATCGACTGTGCAATAATGGGAAGTTTTCTTGAACTACGAAATGTTTAATTCGTGGTGATCTTGTGGTCCTCCCTTCCATTTGATTATTTCAACCAGTCTGTTTGTTATGATCATGTGATCATCGAGGCTTGCTGGATTGGGTTCCTTTTCACCTCTGCTATTCTTTTTCCTCTCTCTTAAATCGCTAATAATGTGTGTGACGACAAAGCTTGTGAGTCCATTTTGGACTGCAATTGTTAATTGCATATAAAGGCACAACTATCGCAACTGCTAAAATGTCAGATTATTTTTACGTAGTTGTCCCTACTAATTGTACTGCTTAACTAATTTGTTATTGACACGAAACTCTGTGTTCCTGCACCATATTTAAGGTTGTTAAAATAAAGAGAGAATTTTTTATACGAGGAAACCAGAAAAATACAACAGAGAAGCGGATCCAGAAAGTGGTGGCATGATACAAAGCTTTACACGTGCACTGTTTAAAGTTTACATTCTGAGTTGAGCCAAATCAAACCAAGTTTGCTCAAATGCTTTGATTATGAGTTCATGGTATTCTCTTGCGTTAAGTGAGAGATAGCAAGCTAGAAGATCCTCCAAATCCTCTGATGACCATATATTGTTCTCCCTGATCATCTCCACCATTGAATCCTTGAAATCTCTTTGCGGATCAATTGAGGACTTGACAACTGCAAAACCTTCAGGAAAACCTGTGTTGCTTGAAACCTTGCACGCACTGGATGATGATATACTCCTTCTTGCACAGGCTTGAACTTTCCTACTTGCAAGTTTTGCAGAATTGACTCTAAGTCTTATTCCTCTTGAATTAGCCGAGGACTTTGGAGTTGTAGTTCTGCTGCTTTCCTTCACCTTAGATGAACATTTCAAGTAAGATGCTTCAATGACCTGATCATCAAACCTCGCTGGTTTCGTTAATATAGGAGGAAGGCCTAGTTTCGAAATTGGATCAAACCCATCTAGCTTTTCAGGATTCACAGCAAACGATTCGTTGTTCATGTCTATGATGATATCATTAGTGGAAGAACTAACCCTGCAACTGCAGTCAGGGGAAAGGCCATTCAACATGTGAGGAGCTGCTAAGCTATCGCACTCATCAGATTCAGATGTGATACATTCATAGGGATCTAATTCAGTGGAAGAACTCTCAATGGAAGAGGCATAGAAATCCGGAGACTCGGCTTGATTTGGCTGAGTCCAATGGCAGCTGCAAGCAGTTGAGAAAGAGGACAAAGCCGAGGGAGAAGGGTTGTAAATTGTTTTCCTCTGAACTCTTCTCTTGGATGACCTTCTTGGTGAATCAGTGAATGAAAAGTCTCTGACTTTGTTATGAATTGGCGAGTTGAAAAGCATACCAGCTCTGTAAGGTTCTGTGGGGAAATGGTGCGAACAACTTGGGGGCGACCTCTGGGGCATTACAGGTGAGCTTGCTTTGTTCTTCACAGCATGAGAACCTTTCTGCTTTCTTGATCTGCTCATGTCTTTGAGCTTGTAAAACCAAGCATTTGGGATCATATCTGACAATTTGAACCTGTGAATACCCATCAGATTATGAAGTGCCTCAAGCACTACTCAACAACCCTTGATCTCTCTCTGAGGATTCTTGTATTTCTCTGGGGTATCTCAGAATTGTACTTATTCTCGAGAGTTGAAATCGAAGATACAATGAACTGAAATATGGCCTTATAGCAGGAAAAATATAATGCTGGTGGTCCACTATAAAAGTTTAGACATTAAAGCAGGGGGACCAAGTGTGTCCCAAATGACTATGTATCATTACTATCAGCAATGCTCTTGCCGTGTCAACTACAAATAACATCATTAGCTTAGTTTCAATGAGTAACACCCCCCTCCTTCTTATTATGCCATCAATCCCTTCGCAATAAATCAACAATTTGGTCTGAGATCTAAACAGACAACTTAGCTGTGAGATATATTTTATTCAGTTTATATATGATTTACAAAAAGATATTATTATGGAAAGCCCAACAAGAATATGCAGAGTTTTCACTATTGAATTTCTTCTTTTGCTGGTTGTGTAACGTTCAGTGGAGAAAAGATAAGTACTGATAAATCATAACCAAAACTAGAAATTAGGATGTGAAGAAGTTTTGCCTTTTGGAAGGTCCAGTTTTCGACAGCCACACGCTTTCTCAACTCAGAATTCCCAAGCGTATTAAATGTTAACCACTCATGGATAACAAATGGCTTGAACTAATAATTTGGTTCTCCACGCTTTGTTTAAGGAGGGTAAAAATATAAGTTTAGTGGGTAATGATGAACACAGGGAACAGGTGAGACCCATCCGGAGGCGGCAGCTTAATTGCATGATGACATGCTGATAAATCCTGATTTTATATTGATTTTTCATATCTTATTTGGGATTTTTATCAATTAAATTGGGCTCAATTGCATTTATTATAATTAATTTGGATTAATTGTGATTGGATGAAAATATTGCTAAAAAGAGCAAAAATATCATATTTTTATGATTTAGTTTAACTGATTGATCTTTTTGAAAAAAATATGATATCATACATCTTAGATTTATTCTAGAAATTTTTGGAAGAGAATTTAGGTTTGGTGGGAGCAGAACGGCGGAAGTTTTATTTATCAGCATCCTATATATACACATCTTCGTAGAGGCACAAGGACGCCACACCCATCCACGATCATCATCATCTCACGGATTCCACCCCAAATTTGATCCTCAATGTGCTAACAGTCTTCAACATCATGCGTGGCTAATTTCATCAAGCTTCTTGAAGATGAAGGATTGGGTTTGAACTTCAGAGTTAATTAGAAGAGTTTTTCTGTTTCAATTCTTTTAATTTAATTAAGTAATGGATTTTCTGAGTTAGAATCAATATTATTTAATTAAATTTTCTAAGATTACTAGTTGTAATTCTTAGTTTAGAATTGAACTTTTGTGATTGGGGTTGGATTTTGCAATTTGAGATTTATATTTATATCCAGTTTGGAGTTCTATATGGTTATGCTATTCTTTCATAGTTTGGATGAATGTTATAATTGTATGGTACTTATTGAATATCTCAAGTTGAGTGTTCTTTGCATAGAAACCCGAATTGCATTAATCGGTTTTCAATGGTAATTTTAATTGATGGTTGTAGCTAGAGTTTTTAGGACATCTATTAATTAAGATTACTTGACTTAATCAGTGATTAAGGTTTTGATTTTAAATTAGTGAACAAAATAACTCTCAGATCATTTTGAGCAAGGATAACCCAATTTCTATTTTCCAAGAAGTATTATCTCATATCTCCTTAAAATCCAAATTTTTCATTTGCTACTTTTTTTTTAATTAATTTTCTTTCAATTTCAATTTCAAAGTGTCTTTTCAATTTTTTTATATAAAAAAATGAAAAAAATATTTAGAATTGTTTTCAATTTATTTTGCAAAGTAGTTTTTTAAATTTGAAAAACAAAAAAAAACTTTTTAATAGTAATTTTGATTTTTAGTTAATTTAGGACCTAGTTAATTTTTAACTCCAATAAGAGAACCACTTTGGTTTACATCACTTGTTGCATTCTAAATTTAATTCAATTTGACCCAAGACGACATTAGGATCACATGCCTTTCCTTTTGAAACAATGGGGTTATTATTGCGAATCCCCCACTTGCCTGCTGCTGGCGTAAGCATTTGAAATCATAGTATTGTTTTCGTTTATTCCTTATTTTAGGACTATAATATGTTAAGAACCTGACCCGACATGAGCATGGAGATACAGCAAAGAAAGAGGTTTGCTGTTAGTAGAAGCGTATTTTTAGTTGATAATACAAAAGACAGCTTAAAACTCAACATACTTTTTCACGCACCTCAGAAATAAATAAGTGATATCTTCTCAATGGGATAACTCATTAGATATTTGATTTTACTCCTCCAGTTTTTAATATAGGACCTAATTCTTGAATGGTTTTAGTCCTAAATATAAGACTTATTTCTTCATAATTATCAATTTTCTCTAAATTACCCCTATAGATATTTCCTCAACCATAATCAAGTAGAAAAGAGAAATGGAGTATTAAGAAAGACGATTATAGTGTTTTAGGAAAAATGTGTCACTTTTCTTATAATTAACTAACTTACCTAACTTTCTTAATCTAATCAAATTAGTTAAATGGTCTTATATTAAGGACCGAAGAGTATATATATCGATATTGTTATGTAGTATAAAAAAAAAAGTACACCAATAAAAGATGGAATGTTGGAATTTGGATCATTTATCAAATAAAGAAATTGGATTTCTATTATTATTCTTACAATTAGAAAGTGATTTTATTTTAGCAATTTTCTAGTCAAAAGATACGGCAATTGGAAAGTGGGAAATCGATATCAGATAGGAGTGTGTAAAAACCAGGTGGTTTGGTCAGGTCTGGTCCAACCCGAAGTGACCTAGTCCTGTCTATCCGGTCCAATCCAAATAAATATATAATAAAATTATATTAGACTGGACCAGACTGGTTGGTGGGTAGGACTGGGTTTTAGACCAAGTGATTAGACCACCTGAATTAGTCTAGTCCAGTCGAGGTAAATTTGTTATTTTTAAATAATTTGCAATTTGCAATTTAGATGTTACCTTTTAATTTTTTTTATATTTTTAGAGATTTTTATGTATTTATGATGAAGTCTTAATATTTTAAGATGATTTTATATGATTATAGGTATTTTTATTGTCTTAAATTATATTCATCATGTTGAAATCTTGCTTCCCAGAAAAAAAAAAGTTCAAAAAAAAATGGAAACTGCACTGTCTGGACCAATCTATCAGTCTGGTGGATCCAAGTCCAGTCCAACCCGACCTCAGGTCACCACTGGATTAGACCAGACCATCGACTGTCAAACCCAACCCAACCCAACCAAAAATCAGACTAAACTTCAGGTTGGGTTCTGGTCTGGTCTATACATTGTGTAGCCCTATCGGATAGTGTGGGTGTGCGTATTTCAACAATAATTTTTCGAAATATTGAATTTTAACCATTTAAAAGCGAGAAAAGGAGAATTTTGCTTTTTGGGTGCATCTGAGAAAAGGAGATGTGGAGAGTGAAATAGAGAAAATTCTGGCCGGTGCCAGTCTGCCAGGGAACCTGATCTGTACCTTTATTTGGGCCAAATTACGTTCTGGTATTATATTTGACCTACAACAAAAGCCCAATCCAAATACATTATTCAGCCCATTTAAAGTTCGAGAAGCCCAACCCAATCGTTTGCGGAGGACTTCTGGTCGAATTCCAATAACATGTTAATAAAGTTTTCATTTTTTTTCACTTTTTTTTAATCACCAAAAAAAAGTTTTTCACCAACTATTTCACCAACTAATAAAGTTTTCAAGCTGAAATTTTAATGACTTTTTTTAACCGAAATCTAAACTTTAATTACTTGAATTCATATTTTAAGTGTGTCATCATTATATAGCGTAAATCTCGGATATATAAAATTTTCTGAAGAAATGAGTGTATACTTTTAACAAAATTATTTTAAAAATTACATCAATTTTAAAACTGAAAAATTGTATAAATTAAAAAAAAAGTAATTTATCCTTAAAATTTTAAAAAGGATGAGTGAAAGACAATAATACGGTGAAAATGTTTGGTAGCAAAATTCAAAAAGGTTTAAAGTATAACAATCTGATCAACTCAAACTTCAATATAAATATATATAATATATATATATATATATATAATCGCCAACGAAAATACTATCACGGGGCTTGCAAAAATATTTTAATATAGAGTTCCGGATCAACACATAGTAGTGCCTTGTAATTAACAATTAGTGGAATTGGATTAACATGAGTAAACGAAAATAGCATGGTTCAGTCAAGACACTAGAGATTCTGGCAACTTACAAATATATTAGAACCCTCTAACGGAAAAGATTAGTAGACTACAAGCATTAACAGACTGTTAGCCAAGTCTAGTACAAAAGTTATGATGTTCTATTTGCTAATTACCAGTTAAAAGGGCTCTCCATTTAGTTAACATCTTACGAAGATGTGACATAAACTCTTGACTTCACCAACGTCTGCCCAATTCCGAACCCAGGCATGATCATGAACTGAACTTTGCAGTTTGATCTTTCTCCATCAGATCCAAACGCGATTCCCTTCTTCCTCCATGGATTCCATGTACAAGCTGCAGAACTTGCTTCCTCTGTTCACAGAGAACAAGGTTGCATCAGGATCTATTTGTCTAGCAGAACCTTGCAAGACCCAAATCCATTTTGCCATTTTGGCAAACAATTGATAGAACTCCGTCCTAGGATGTTTGCCGCCAGTATGAATGTCCGGTGATCTAAATTGCCAAAGAATCTTTCTTCCATTGTCGGATGAATGACCAGAAGATACTTAGTTCGACAGAATTTGGCAAACTCTGAATCAGGATTCTCCATCAGCGCATCAATCGGGTCTTTAAACCTCATGACATCCCCCACATTGTAAGACGTTAAGCGAATCCCATGAAACATCCTGCGAGCAATGTAGGCCTCGAAAGTGTACTTCTTGTCAGATCTTTTGGCGTAAACGGCTTCATTCAATCACTTGGCGGCCAAATCAAGGTCCCACCCTGAAGCTT